GCCTTCTTCTCCATAGGGAACTATTCTTTGTTTTTTCTTTTCACGTCTCGGGGGCACTAGAGGGGAACACTTTTCCTTTCTTTCCTCGCCCCGTCTTCGCGGGCGCCGAACTTACGGATGGGGCTGGGGAGCCAGGACGCCCAAATTCCCGGGGAGCTGCTTGTAGTGGGTGACGGTGCGCGCTTTCCTTCCAGCCCCACCCCCCTAAACACACCCTGCCTGTCCCCTCCAACTAGCGACCCTTTGACCCCTGGCTGTGTCTGAAGGTGGGGAGGGGAGCCGATGATCTCACAGGAGGCCTGGCACAGAGCTGGGGGGCAGACATAGTTTGGGGAGGGCTTACCAGGCATCCCAGGTGTGTGTCTTGTGTTCAAGGCCTTTGTAAAATATGTAAATGTGTAAACTATCAAGGAGTTCTGCTCAGATTCCACTGTGTGTGTGTGTGTGTGTGTGTGTGTGTGTGCCCCTGTGCAAGCCCTAAGCTCGCAGACCCCACCCACCCTCACCCCAGCACCCTAGAGAGAAGCCCTTTAAGAGCACTGTGTGTAACCCCAAATCTGGAGGGCCTCCATTTCTGGGGGAGACTGCTCCCAGCTGGGCCTGCCCGTGTTCGGGACACCCAGCAGTTTAGCAGTAGAGCTGACCAGGGCTGGTGAGCGCCAGGGCCTGGCTGGTGTTTGGCTGGTGGTGAAATAAGAAAGCCAGGAGGATCCAGACACAGGAGGTGAGCAGACCACGGGGTGTTACAGGAACCGGAAGGCGACTGGCTCCCAGGAGGAGGTACAGGGTTGTGGTAGGGGAGTGTGTAGGACACTGGGATGAGCCTGTCTGCCCAGAGCTGCCCTCTCCTGGGGCGTGAAAGGATAGCTCCTCTGTCAGACTTTGAGTCCCTTTCAGAAAGTGGTATTTTGGGGTTATATTTAGCGTGCATTCCCTGGGGAACGGGCCATGGAAGGCCTACTCTCAGCCTGTCCCCCGCTGGATAGGGGACATTCGTGGTGCTTGGAGTCACACCCAGAGGCCCCCTCAAACAGGATGGCCACTCTGGAAACGTGGCTGTAGAAATCTACCCTGGGCATAGCCACTGAGGACTCCAGACTTTGTTTCACTTGTAATCTCTGTGAAGCGATCCTGGACCATGTCCTTGCGTTGATTGGAACCCACGTGGTTCATGTTGTATGTGTTCTGAGGCGTGACCGCTCTACAACGTTGGCATAGATGTAACTGGCTTGTTTTTCAGTAGATTCCTAAAAGCCTCTGTATTATTAGAGACTAACACCTCTCCCTCCGCAACCCCCCGGGGGTCAGGCTGGGTATCCTTGGTAGAAACAGGATTTACTGAGAAAATTCCAGTGTACACCAGATGTGTGTGTGTGTGTGTGTGTGTGTGTGTGTGTGTGTGTGTGTATGTGTGCACGTGCGAATATGTTGGGGGAAGGGCAAAGGTAAATTTCCTTAGAAGT